GCAACGTCGATTATGTTAATAAAGCAAGAAAAATAGGGGATGGCAGAAATAAACTACGAAGAATAGTAATCTGAACTCTTTGTGATTGTGTGAATTGTGAGAAGGGTAGTTTTTATTTTATCTGACAGATTGAAGAATATCTGTATTTAAAAGATGCAATATAACTTTGTCGAAGATTAAAATGATATTTTGTCACTATTTATTTATTAAGTTTTGATGGACTTTTGATTTCGTTGCTTCGGGGTTGAACGTAGTTATATAAATGTTTGTAGGATGATAGGAGTAAATATAGGAAACTTAAAGGGAAGGTTTTAGTTATGAGTAAAGTTTAAGAAGTTTTAGTAAGGAGGATTTATAGGAAATAAGGATAAGACAGATAACTATGAAAAAGAGGAAATATTTAAGTTTAATGGTCTTATAAAAAATATGTATAACATATTATTTAATTAGAAAATGATGTTAATAATAATAATAATAATAAATTTTTGTTTATTGTTTGGGGGCACAATAATTCTGTGCTTGTAGTAAAAGGAAATACTTTGGATAATGTAATAATAATAGTAATAAATATTATAGTAATTTTGCAATCAGTAATGGTGGTAATAGAAGTAAAAGGGTTAGGTATGTGAAATAGAACATAACAGTATAGTAGTATAACATATATATAGTACTTCTTCTTTTTAAGGATTTTCCTTCCTTCCTTCCTTGGTTACTTCCATTGAAGAATTCCGTTTACCAGTTCCATGGCTTCTATCGTAGAATCATCCGACTTGCTTTATCGTTCACCACCACCTTGACCTTTGACTCCAACACATGACACGCCGTCTCTTATTTATCCAAGAATCGAAGAAACTTTCGTTTATTTTGTTTATTTTTCAACAAGAAAATTCGCAATAAATACACAAATAAATTCATTCATAAATTCAAATAATGATATGTAAGAAATAAACAAAGTTATCTTCGAATTATTTTCTTCGTCAAACGATAATCAAAAAATGAAAGATTCATAATTAAAAATATATTATATTATGTATCTTTATCATATATTCCTTTTCAGTACAAATTAATTGATACGTTTGACGTATAAACATTTAATAATATTATTGTAAATTAGTAAACAAGTAAGTATATAAGTATTAATAATAAGTAAAGTATATAAAGTATAAGATAAAGTATTATATATTAATTAAATAAAATTATATAATTTTTATACAATTAAGATAAGTATAAATATTAGTAATAAGTAAAATATATAAAGTATAAAGTAAAGGTATTATATAATAAATTAATATATAATTTGTATAAACATTTACACGTCAATATGTAAAAATTAATTTATAACAAACCTTTTCATTATTTAAATCTTTTTCTTATTTAATATTTTACTTATATTCGTAATATTAGTAATTCTACTATTAAGTTTGATAAAAGAAAAAATATCAAAGTGTCCATTAATTTTGAATGAGAAACGAGATACTTCACCCTCTTCTTCTCTCTTTCTCTCTTTCTCTCTTTCTCTCTCTCTCTCTCTCTAACATTCATCCTTAAATTTTTGTTCTGTATCACAATAAGTTATCGTCGCACGTGTAGCTCGCATGTATGTAACTACGTTTCCGCGCGTCGTTCGACGAATACGTTAGATTCGAAAGGGAAAGAGAAGAAAAAAGAAGAGGAAGAGGAGGAGGAGGGTTGCTGGACCAAAGGAAGAAGAGAATAAAAGGGAGAAATGCGAAAGACGAGAAAGAGAGAGAGAGAGAGACAGAAATATATATAAAACAACAACCAACACGGTTCGAAACCAAACGAACGAACGAAGGATTTGCAAACAATAGACCTGGAGCAGAGTGGATTCTTTAGATGGCGGTTTCGATACGCATCGCATTTACATATTATTGCTATTATTAGGTAAACGATCCTCCGAGCGCCTCTTTAACACTACGCGTTTGCTCGCTTACCCCCTCGAGGGTATTTTACGAGCGACCAGCTTAGACCCCCCCGGCCGATAAAACCCAAGAAGACACACTGTGAAACCGAAACTTTCTTTTCCTCTCTCTTTCTCTCTCTTTCTCTCTCTTTCTCTTTTTCTCTCCCACCCCCACCCCCTTCCCTTTCTGTATTTTCTTTCTCTTTCAAACGATAGTAGGTGGACTTCTCAGTGATGTAAATGATTCTCAACTATGACTATAACATTCATTCTTATCTAAACCATATCTTCTATGATCTATTCTCTATCAAACGATCTATCTGTTGATTTTATCTCTAAACAAGATGATTTTTATGAACTTTAAAGATCGTGGAATTACGATATGATAACACCATACACACTTTAGATCAACGGTCGCCAAACTTTTTGATCTCACAGACCAGTAAATTCATAATTTCAATCCTATGGACCACTAATATGATTTTTTAAGTGTTAACCCTTTGAATAGTAAATACTTTTAACTAAAATGTTTTATAGAAATGGAATAATTTATTATTAATTAGATTCTAATAATAAGTTATATTTAATAATTAAAGTTTTTATTTTTGAATATAATTTAATTAATTAATATAAATATTACATTATTTTACATTAATATTAATAAACACGTATGTATTGGGTTGGCAAGAAAGTAATTTCGATTATTTAGAGTAAAATATTACTTTCTTACCAACCCAATAATATTATATATATGTATATTATTTTACTAACATTTTTTTTAAACATTAATAATAATTTTGAATTAAATATCATAAAAATGTTATGTCATTCCGTGACTACTACGTTTTAGAAATATTCTACACTTTGATTAAAATTTTAATCAAGTTTAGAAATATTTAATAAGATCGTTGTGATATTTTTATTTAAAAAACGGAACAGAAGTATACTATATATATAAAAAATAATGAAATTAATTTTCTATGTTTAAATTCGTCTAATTTAAAATACCAACAATATTTATATAAATATATGTATATTATATAAATAAGGCGTATCTCCTCTTTTACATAGCGTTAATCAAATTCTCTTTGAGTCGAAAAAGATCTGAACGGTCGGCTATAAATTCAAGGATGTGTTCAGTTCAGGGTAGGAGGAGGAGGAGGAGGAGACGAAGGGAGATAGAAGGGGGAAAAAAGGAGGTTTAGTTCTCTCTAGACCGCTCGACGCCAGGACCGAAATTAAGGGCGCTTCTTTGGTCGGCCGCCCGTTACTTTCTTCTTCGTCTTTTCTCGGACAGGGCAAAGAGAACGAGCAAGGTGGACTAAAGTGGTCCGACGAGAACACGTTCCTCAGCGTAAATAAAAGAAACTTCTCTCTTTCTTTTTCTTTTCGTATGCTTCCTCGAATTATCTGATGTTGACTAAAAAAAAAAAAAAAGACAAAAAAAATATAATATTAGAAAGCTAAACATATAAATGTATGTAAATATTCGTTTAATCGTTAAATGAATTTCAAAAGGAAATGAAAAGAACAAAAATATTTTATTAATAATTAAAAATGATATTTGTCTCGATTATTTAAAATAAATAAGAGAATAATAGTTAAATTAAATTTTGAATAATATTATAGTTCGTATCAATGATAATTTAGAGAAATATTTTTCAATTATTTAAAATAACACGTAAAGAATTATTTGATTTCTATAATTTATATTTAAAATCATAATATAT